CGTCTCACAGCCGTCGCCAGGTGTCTTCGCTCAACTGCATGCTTCCTGCCGGTGGGTTCTTTCTGCCAGAGGAGGAACCGTCCTCAGGGCAGGAGGCTCGACTCGACTCTCTACCTTGGGCTCAGCAACCTCTACACGTCGGTCGGAAGAAGCAGGTAGAAACATGAAGTAGGAAGGCGGATCTAGTAGATTGGGTCCAGGTCCTCCCAGAGAATAACAACACAGAGCAAAATAATGTCGATTCTTGAAGTAGGAAGGCGCTTGAAGTAGATTGGGATCTGGGAATCCAAGAATGTACACGGGTGCAGGGATGCACTCAGCTGCGAACTGTGGCAGGGGAGGAGGCGGCGGAGGAGGATGCGTTCTCTCGCCCCACGCGTCCCCTCGTTGATGCTCTCTATCCGCAGTCTCTGTTCCAACTAGTCCGCCTGCACTGCACAGCTCCCTGAACCCTGCACAGGTGCTCTCATCTGCTCTAGCGCTGCCGTGACGGTGTCGAGCCTGGGCGGGCATCTTCAGATGCGCAAGTGCTGTGCATAATGACGGCGCTTCCGCTTATGCATGCTTGTGGGGGCGACCAAGCTGCGCGCCTTGGTAATTCTAGGCACCCAAGCATTTTCGCCGCAGCATTTGCACCCACGCAACCAAGCAACCTCTGGGGCCCCTAATAATTCTAATGTGGCGTGTGACTGCCAGTGTGGACCACAAGCTGTAGGCTCTTTAAATCGCGTTTGTTATCTGTGTAATACCATGTGTGAATGTGTGTGGGGCGCGTACGCGTATGATGCGACTTACTTAATGCAATGTACGCGGCGTGACAGATGGAACGCAACCCATTTGCCCACCTCAATTGGGCGTGGTGCAAACTACTTGTTGCAAGCTCGTGCAACGGGTGCGGCGCAATCAGCACGGCGCAGGCGATAGCGACCCAACGCAAACTGGTCCAAACCGTGCCGACCAGGCCGACCCAAACCACACCGACCAAAATCGTACCGACCCAAATACATGCCGACCCAATCTTCCCAACTTAAACCTGTGTCCTTGTTCCCCAGAGCACGACCCACGGAAGACAGGCATGGTGGATCCGCACACCCGATGCGAACCAACACCCACACCATCACCACCACCATCACCACCACCATCACCACCATCATCACCATCATCATCATCCCCATCATCATCACCACCACCATCACCACCACCACCACCATCATGATCATCCTCCTCCTCCTCCTCGTCGTCGTCGTCGTCGTCGTCGTCGTCCTCATCCTCATCCTCATCCTCATCCTCATCCTCATCCTCATCCTCACCACCGTGCTCAGCAACATCATCCTTACCTTCATCCTCCTCCGCGTCCTCCTCCGCATCCCTCCCGTCCTGCGCATCCTCACCATCGCCATCGCCACCAGCATCCTCATCACCACCGTCGTCTGCTTCCTCCCCAGCTTGCTCCTCCTCCGCCTCCTCGCCACCACGCCCCTCTGGCCGCAGAGGCCCGCCCGTGCCCCCCGCCCCCACCTGCCGCCCTCGCACCCGCCGGAGGCCGCGGCGAGAGCGAGGACGCCCCCGCCCCCCCCCCCTGCCCCCGCCCGTTCCTGAGAGGAGGCGGGGGGGGCAGTGGCAGCAGGCCTCGACGGCGAAGATGCTCCTCCTCCTCCTCCTCCTCCTCCTGCTCCCGAAGCTCCTCCTCCTCCTCCTCCTGCTTCTGCTCCTCCTCCTCCTCCTCCTCCTCCTCCTTCTGCCCCTCCTGCTCCCGAAGCTCCTCCTCCTCCCCCCTCCTCCTCTCCCCTCCTCCTCCTCGTGCTCCTCCTCCTCCTCCTCGTCGTCGTCCTCCTCCTCGTCCTCCTCCTCCTCGTCCTCCTCCTCCTCCTCCTCCTCCTCCTCCTCCTCCTCCTCCTCCTCTGCTTCTTCTGGGGTCCTCCTCTCCAGACCTGCGGCGTTGTCATGCTTGTCGCAGCGTGGACCTCTGGAGGTTCGGACCGCTCCCCCAGGACCAGCTCTTCAGCTCCAGTCGCCCTTTGACGCCCCCAGGGCCCGGCGAGGGCCCCCCAGAGCCCGAGCACGGAGAACAACCTTCGGCCGTGATGTTTCCACGACGCGAGGCTGTCAGGGTCCCAGGGGTCAAGGTCTGTCCCCTGGTACTGTTCTGCGGCGCACTCTGCCCGAGAGTGGAGAGCCCGAGCCGTTCTTGTCGACGGCCCCCGGGCTTGGCGAGTTTCTCGAGCTGCGCCCAGCCACTGGGGTGCCTGTAGGCGAACTGAGGCAGGTAGACTCGCTCAAATCGGGGCCATATGGGCCCCTCGGCCCACCTGGGGTTCCTTGTCGTTTCCTTGGCCTCCTGCCTGGGGCCGTCCAGGCGCACACTGCTGCGCCGAGGCGGAGAACACCCTTCGGCCGTGATGTCTCCACGATGCGAGGATGTCAGGGTCCCAGGGGTCAAGATCTGTCGCCTGGTATTGTTCTGCGGCGCATTCTGAACAGAACTTCGGGGCGGATCCAGCCGAGGCGACGAGAAGCCCGCCAGAGGCCCAGCAAAGGCGAAAAACGCATCCAAAGCTTCGAACTTCGAGCCTCTTCCACTCTGGGAACTATGAACCCCCAACAAAGGCGAAAAACGCACCCAAAGCTTCGAACTTCGAACCTCCTCCACTCTGCGAACTATGAACCTTCGGACCTTCGACGTTCGAACTTCAGACCTCCAGCCTGCAGCCTGCCTCCGACCGCCCCAGAGCCTCGCACAGCACGTCCTCTGCGTCATCGGGCTCCAGCGGCTCGGGGGAGTCCTCGGGCCCTCCCAGGAGCGCACCAAATGGTCACACTACCCAGACCCCCTCGAGTCACGGAAAAATCACGGCGGGAAGCTTTTCGCTGTTTTCGGCCTCTTGGGGCCCTCGCCGGGCCCCAAGACGCGAAAAGAACAACCCAAAATGAGAAACCGGCCCTGGGAAAAGGGTCAAAACTTCCAGGGACCGCGAAATGAAATTAGCCTCGCGAAGGACTCAACTATATGCAGTTGTGAATGCAGCAGTTGTGGGTTTCGTCTAGGGTGGAGCTCCGTATGGGGTCACGAGGCGAGTGGGGGGTGTGCCGAAATGCGTGTCGCGGGCGCATGCGAACGGTTCCATTGGTGCCTTCGGTGGTGCTCCGTGTGGGACATCGAAAGTTGTGACAGTGTGCCGACGTGGGTGGCGCGGGCGCATGCGAACGGTGCGACTGGGGCCTTGGGGGAGCTCCCTATGGGGCCACGAAACGTTTGAGGGGTGTGCCGACATGGGAAGTGCGAACGCATGCGATCGGAGCCGCTGAAGCTTTCGGTAAAGCTCCCTATGGGGCCACGAAGCGTTTCAAGAGTGTGCCGATATGGGTGGCGCGGACGCATGCGAACGGTGCCACTGAGGCCTTGGGTGGAACTCCCCGTGGGGCCACGAAACGTGTGAGGGGTATGCCGAAAGGGTGGTGCGGACGAGTGTGGGCGGTGCCACTGGAGCCTTGGGTGGGGTTTCCATATGGGGCCACGAAGCGTGTGAGGGGTGCGCCGAAGTGGGTTGCGCGGTGTGGACGGTGCAAGTAGAGCCTTGGATGGTGCTCCCTATGGGGTCACGAAGCGTGCGAAAAGTGTATCATCTGGCGCGGATTCATGTGGACGGTGCCGCTGGGGCCTTCGGTGGAGCTTCCTATGGAGCCACGAAGCGCTTGCGGAGTGCGCCGAAATGGTTGGCGCGGACGCACGTGGACGGTGCCCAGGGGGGCTTTGGGTGGAGCCCCCTATGCGGCCACGAAGCGCGTGAGGGCTGTGCCGAAATGAGCGGACCGGACGCACGCAGACGGTGCCGCTGCGACCTTCGATGGAGCTCCCTATGGGGCCGCGAACCGTGTGAGGGGCGTGCCGAAACCAGAGGCACGGGCGCATGTGGACGGTGCCACTTGGGCCTTGGGTGGAGTTCCATATGGGACCACGAGTTGTGTGAGGGGTGCACCGACATGAGTGGTCCCGACGCATGCAGACGGCGTGACACAGTTGAGACCTCTCGGCTCCGTGGGAAGCTGCGAAGCGTGAAGCTGTCGCCACTTTCATGGGCTCCCGGGAGGTCGCGCGGAGTGGAGTTACACGGGGACCCTGTTGAGACCTCGCCATTCCCTGGGGGGGCTGCGAAGCGTGAGACTGTCGCCGATGCCGTTGGCTCCTGGGAGTTCGTGCGAAGTGGAGTGACACGGGGATCCTGTTGAGACCTCGCGGTTCCCTGGGGGGGCTGCGACGCGTGAAACTGTCGCCGCTGTCGTGGGCTCCTGGGAGGTCGCGCGGAGTGGAGTGACACGGGGACCCAGTTGAGACCTCGCGGCTCCGTGGGGGGCTGCGAAGTGCTTGCCACTTTCGTGGGCTCCTGGGAGGTCGCGCTGAGTGGGGCGATATGGGGCCCGGTTGAGACCTCGCGGCTCCCTGGGGGGCTGCGAAGTGTGAAACTGCTGTCACTTTCGTGGGTTCCTGGGAGGTCGCGCGGAGTAGAGTTACACGGGGACCCAGTTGAGAACTCCTGGTTCCCCAGGGGGCTGCGAAGTGTGAAACTGCTGTCCCTTTCGTGGGTTCCTGGGAGGTCGCGCGGAGTGGAGTTGTCCGGAAGTCTAAGTCGGCGTTGTCGCATCGCAGCTCGCAGGGAACCGCTGCGCCACGCAGCGCACTGCGCTGTCTTCTGTCAGCGTGGCCTCACATTCTCAGCTGCCCCTGGCCCGTCATATCACCACGTGCGCCTGCCTCGCCCAGCGCGACGCGTTGGTCTGCTATAGGACGCATGGCGCTAATCTGTCCCGGGTATGTAGCGCTTGGCGATACTGCAGATACTGAACATGTATGTCCCCCTTCACCCTCCTCCGAATGCTCTTGTCTCCGTCCCTATCCTGCCATTCCTGCATGTTTTTGCGTGTGTACCTCTGAGAGCTCATGCGTACTGCGGGTCCTTCAACATGTGTGTTCTCATTGAGCGGTCCCAAATACATTCGCCAAG